TGTGAACCAACAAATTCAATAAAACATAAAAGATACTATAGAGAAAATTGCTTAGAACTATGGGGCCTGTGTATGAAAGTGGTAAATATTGCCTCCAGGGCAAGAGAAGGATGGATGTAGAAAGGAAGCATTTTTGTTGAATCATGAAAATCAGGACAAAGTGTGTAGGGAGATAAGGCAGGAAGGCATGTGATGGCATAAAAATGCAAGAGATGGGAGCCAGAGACCCTACCCACATACGAATTAGACCACAACTGCAATTGTTAAGGAGAGACTTAAAACCTAAAAATGAAGATCCAGGCATTTCCATTTGGATTTAGTCATTTAACCAAAGTTGCACCCACCTGCTTAATTAGCCTGGATTAAAAGTTAGAAATCCGAAGCCTGGCAAATGCTCTTGATTTATTTACGTTTTTTAGACCCTATTGATCTTTTATCTAGAAATTTTTGAGTCTAGTCATTTCTAAATCCCTTTTCATACATGGACAGGTTGAACAGAGAACACCAGTATATCTAAAAGGCTTGTCTGTGCCAAATCAGTTGTCATTTAGTATTTCTTAAACAGTTCAGGTCACTATTTTTCCGACAGTAACTCCAAAACTTGATGACAATAAGCATGCCCTTATGTAATGTGTGCAACCCTTTGTTCCTGTCTTCAGTTCAGGCATAGCAAGTGCAGCCTCCCCTCTGCACATTTAGATATGGGCTTGCAAATTATTCACAGACCTGAGTGCTCACCACATGTTGCCTCCTAAAATGTCACTTTCTAGTCACAGTAACTTACTGATATCAATAATAGGACAGCTTGAGTCCTATGGAGGATACTAACAGCATTCTTTATTGAAGAGTGTTTCTTGAAAATGCACAATGATTCAGAAGTTGTACTGATTCAAAATAACTATTTCTTGCAATTAGTACTTTTCTTGTTTGTGTTTTGACACAAGTGATAACACCTCCATGCCTGACACTTCCTCTAAAAGGAAGTACTGCTGATGTCCTCTAAAATCTATTCTGAATCTTAAACCTGAAATGCATGCCCCAAAATTTAGTGATGCACAAGTGATCCTTTGGGAAAAGATGGTCAAATATTTGATTGTCTGAAATTATTTTTAAAAACACACTAAATTATGGTTCAGGCCTACAGGGAAAGAGAATAATTTTCAGAGTTAAATTTCTACAGGGGTAAGTGATCATGTCCTTTTTCTGGAAGAACTGTCGCTTGACCTTTAAAAAAGTTGAATTCTAGCTGCAAAGAAAATCCATTCCAGACTAAATCCCTTTCCATACATGGACAGGTTGAACAGAGAACACCAGTATATCCAAAAGGCTTGTTTGTGCCAAATCAGTTTGTCATTTAGTATTTCTTAAACAGTTCAGATCACTATTTTTCTGACAGTAACTCCAAAACTTGATGAGAATAAGCATGCCCTTATGTAATTAATGCTACCCTTAATAATCTGTTAGCATATCATCATGTATTAAATTCAGTTATTTCCAACTATTATAGCATTGCCCACATTGCTTTATTTTTCTAGCATTGCTTCTCTCTCAAGTCAACATGCCCAGATATATGCCTTTTATAAATTTTGTATGGTGCAGATTATTTTATAATTGAGAATAATAATGCAATGCAATATTGCTTTGGAAATTTCAATGCTGTTCTTTTTTACACAATTGATACTTCTCTCAGGTTAAGGAAAAGCACATCTAGAGTTACCGTCAGGTAGTACACAGTCCTGGTGTAAAACCTAGCCATCCCTCCCATCTGTTCCATTTCTCCACAGTCTCAAGTATGTCAGCCCTAAGACAGATGCTAGAGATTTTGCCCTAACAGTTGTAGACCAAAGGATTTGAGCTCCCTTATCTCATTTTCTTAGACTGCGATTACTTAAGTCATCCTGCTATTAGAGTTTGTGATTTAAACAAAACAAAACCAAAGAAAATAAAACTTTTTCAGTGGGCATATTGCTCAATAATTTCCCAAACAAGTGTATTATCAATATTTCTGTTCATAGAACGGAACAATTTGGGCACATTGGGTTGCCTCTTAACCAGATTCTCACCAGGAGACCCAGACAGATCAGACTCTTGGAATCAGCTAGAATCAGTACTATTGTGAGAAAGTGGGAAACAAAAAGCTCAAGGGGAGGTAAGGTACAAGAAAAACATTTCGTTCTTTAAAACATAAAATGTTGTACATGGTTATAAGGTAAAATAGAAAAAGCTATTTGGACTACAAAAACAAAACATTATAGAACACAATTTACTGAAACAAGAAGCACCTAAACATAAACACTGATTGGCATTTTCTTTAACATTTACAAATATCTATTTAGTACCTCTTCTGTGCCTGACCTTGTTCTAGACTTCAAATTCATCTCTGAACAGAATATATGAAAACAAAGAGCCTCCTTGAGCTTACATTTTATTGGCAGATGACAGAATGAGGAGTAAATAACATACTGTGTTAGAATGGCAATACCTTGGAGAAAAATAAAGCAAACAATGGGGATAAGAAATTCCTTATTGGAGTTTTTAGGTGGGGTTTTCAGGGAGTAGGGGAGGAGACATTCAGAATAGGTGATATTTGAGTAAAGATTTAAAGTAGCCGAGAAAGTCAACCATGTGGAGATAGAGGGGAAGAGCATTCCAGGTGAGCTGCAAAGATCTTGAGGCAGAAAAGAGGTCTGGGTTGTTTCCAAAGAACAGCAAGGAGGCCAGTGTTCTGACTAAGGTGGGAGTTTAGGCAGAGAGATGACGTAGGTAGAATAGATTGTAGCAGCTGTTTTGGCTTTTATTCCCAGTGAGACAGGAAGTGATTGGAGAGTTATGAGCAGAGAAGTTACATGATCAGACTCAACAGGATCAATCTGGCCTTTCTAGTGGAATTTTTACTAGGGAATTAGTCAGAAGTTTCAAAATGAAAGTGTTCTAATATTTAAAAAAAGCTGTTGTACCACTCATATAATACACTTCTGAAAATGTTATGTGCTCCTTAGGTTATTAGTGCATATGTCCTTGCTTTTATACTACGTGAAGCAAAAACTAATAGTAAATGTAAATTTGTTTCTTCCCTTTTAATGTCCCTAACCTATGACATAACTAGAAGTGTCCCTTTCCCTACTGGATTTAACATTACAACTCTTACAACATGCTTTAACTCTGTGAAGGCCTCCCCTAAATTTTCTTCCACATATTTCATGTTAAGTCCCATACCTTCCCCATTGGTGCTTGTCCTGCGTGGAATGCCATCCCCACCTCTTTCCTAGCTGCCCTTCAAAGCCAGCTCCATTGCCACAATGCCTTCACAACACCTTCAATGGCTATTAACCCCTTTTCCAAAATGACATACTTCAGAAGGTACATCACCAAGTTTTCATGTTGGCAGCTGTTTGTGTATTGTATTGTATTGTATGGTATTTTTGGACAGTTTCAAGTGTTTGTTTTGTCCATCTAACAGGGTATATCCTGGGAAATTAGACCCATATCTATTTTCGGCACCAAACACAAGTCTCAGTCCACAACAGGTGTTCAATAAATACCTAATAGGTATTTTTTTTTTGATCCTTCAATCCATTTCTATAAATATATCTGTCACAGTGAGGCTAAGCTATTTGAAACTGGTTTTCAGTACAGGAATGTCACTGGGAGACCTGAGGGAATGAGGGATGATAGAGCAAGCCAGGTGAGGAAGTGCTTCTACTTTTTTAGATTCAGAGCACGGGTGTTGCTGTTCCCTTTCCCAGGTGCTGAATACCTTACACGCAGACCTTACTCAAATGAAATGGCAGTTGATTTATGTCTCTTCAGCTACTATAACTTAAATTTGTAGTTTGCCCTTTGGGTTTTTTTAATGCATTTTTGGTAGCCTCTGTTACAAACACAGAAAACCCTGTGTTGAAAGGCATTTTATTCATTATATATCTTAATACATTAATATAGTCTACCACAGTAAGTAACTAATTGATTAATAGCAGAAAATAATCAAATTATCCACTTGGGGGTTCATAAATGATTTTCATGAAATATTCCTAAGCATAAAACACACATTCAAAATAAAGCAATTATTATACCATGTTTTTATCATCTGTGTGTAAGATCAAGGCATACTAAAATAAAGAGAATGTATTTTCCAACATAGTCCTGCCAAGTATATATCAATTTGAGTTTCAATGAAAGCACATAGCTACTATCTCAATAATGAGTGATCTCAAATTGGTTTTGTAAGTGGATGTCAATTCTAAAAATCAGTAAGAGTCAGTGAAATTATAGATGCACTTTCAGGGTTCTTTTGCATCTTTTTGTTATCAAAACAACCATTTATTGTTACTAAGATATTTTAATTTCATTAAAACAGTAATGATTATAGATAAAAACCAGTGTACCATTGAATTTAACACCTTACATTGCTTTCGAGTGTTAGAAATCAATCTACCTTGGAGTTTTCTCCAAGTGAGATGTAGTTTCTTAGTCCAGACAAATAACTCCTAAGATAGACCCCTGGACCCATAGGGCATACTAAAATCAACCACATCACTAGAATGTGACTAAAAGGACCAAATTTATCTTCTGCCTCTCTATGTAAGCATTTTCTTTGCCATGGAGATAGTAAGGCAAAGAGAGCAGGGCAAATGGAAGAAGCCACATTTAGATCCCATAATGCATACTTGAATATGAACATTTGGGCCATTTTCTCATTGAAGGGATAAGATATTTGCTGATAATATAATTCCACTTCTAATTCCATCAGCACGTAATGTTCTAATTTTCATAAATAAATGTTGGGGATAATTACTTTTCTATGTCAATGCTTCATTCCTAACAAAATCAATGGATGATGTGTGTGTATTACTCAAAAGAAAAAGAAATTCTGTTATTCTATATAGTATCATAAAAAATCTTGTAAAGGATGATTGGTTGTTTTAAAATATTGTTATTAAAAATAATCACAGTCATATTTTTCCATATACCTGACTAATAATCTTTGCTATATACTTCAGGCATGAACTTCTTGAAGAAGCTCGGAGAAAGGGATTACCTTTTGCCCAGTGGGATGGGCCAACTGTGGTCGCGTGGCTAGAGGTAAGAGAATGAAACCAGGAGGCCCTTAAATCAATCACTTCTAAGTTGATAGTTTATTTGAGACAGGTAAAGGCAAGTTTCTGAAATCACAGCACCCCCTTAGTCTGGATTTGCTCAGAAGGGACTATTTACTTACTAGGGAATAGGTTTGTGATTTTACTCTGACACTTTTTGTGATTGTAGCAGAAGAAAGCATGCAGTGGGATAAAAGGAAGTGTCTCTAAATTACACCCTCTTCATTTCTAGAGCCAGAGAAGAAACAATTTTTTTTTTTTTTTTGACACGGAGTCTCACTCTGTCACCCAGGCTGGAGGCAGTGGCGAGATCTTGGCTCACTGCAAGCTCCGCCTCCCGGGTTCACACCATTCTCCTGCCTCAGCCTCCTGAGTAGCTGGGACTACAGGTGCCCGCCACCACGCCCGGTAAATTTTTTTTTTTTTTTTTTTTTTTTTATTTTCAGTAGAGACAGGGTTTCACCGTGTTAGCCAGGATGGTCTCGATCTCCTGACCTTGTGATCCGCCCACCTCGGCCTCCCAAAGTGCTGGGATTACAGGCGTGAACCACTGCGGAGAAGAAACAAAGTTTTATTGTTGCAAGAAAACATCCATTCACATCCATTACGCCAGGGTCCTTTCTCATTAGCAGGTTACAGAGAAGACCCTCGCCATATTCAACACTTCTGTAATCCAAGAGAGTAAGATCACCTAGATATACCGAGAGACATTCCTTTGCCTATAATTTAATTGCTGAACCTAATTCCCTAAAGCCTAGGGACCAGCTAGGTTTAGACACTTGGGATAAAACAGAAGACTTACCCCTTATTCCCTTATGTGTCCAAACTGAATGCTACAATAAAGAAGAACTGTTTTTAGCATTTCCCGTACAACATAGTGTTCTGGAAAAATAAGGAAATATCTGAACAGGGTGGAAGGCAGCAGAAACCGATTCTGACATTGAGGAAACTACATATTTGACTGCAAAGGGCTCTTTTGTGTCACCTTACAGTAGTGCTCACTGCCCCTTCTATTCAGTTCTCTCTGTGAGCTGCTAGTAGCTGCTGGGATATGCCTGTGTCAGGGCAAAGAAGAATCCAGGCGTTCCTTGCCTGACAGAGGTAATTATACACAGTGTTTTAAATGGTCTTGGATTATAAAATTATCTATCTTCATTTTATTATAGCTAGAGCTAAGTAAATAATCAATAACAAAACATTAAAGCCCATTTTAGTTTTAAAAATAGACTTACATAGCTATATCTAGAAACATGCTTTGTATTTTTTCTTGGACTGAATGAAAAATGCCTGTATTTTGCTTTTACTTTATTCTTTCACATCAGACAGGGAAATTTGGCATATTAGCCATCAGATATTAGCGATCAGAGCTGCTTCTTTCAACCGTGTCTTTAAAATTACTATATTTAAAAAATCAATCACAAGACAAAATGCTTAAGAAATCACACCTCAGAAATGATAGCAGTTCTTTGTTCGGTTTTTTCTCTGATAAAATGAGCTGCAGTTTGACAAAGAGTTCACTGCTGTTTTAGCAAGCGACGAACAAATCCTTCAGATAAAAAGAAAAAAAGAACAGATTTACTGACATTAAGGTGGTAGGAGATGACAGACAGTGAAGTTTGTGCTAATTAAACCTATTCTGAGTACATAGAAATTGCCTATAATGTGATTCCTAATGCAACTTAAATTATGAAATGGAATAAACAAGATGAATGAGCTGAGTGATCCAATGAATGAAAGCTTTAACTTTATCTCCTTTCGCTCCTCCTTGAGTGCACAGCCTGTTAAGAATTTTGTGTCGGCGAGAATTCCATGCTTCACACTCCATTTATCCACATCAAAGACTGTTAAAGGTCTAATTATGGATGACATTGGTAACAATGTATTGGCAGGCATCTGGGTGATGTTAACTTGTGTGGAAATTCAAATATCTTAGAAGACAGGGGTAAAAAAAATCATTAGGATCCAAAGAAGATATGTTTAGATGTTAGTTATTTTGAACAGTTTGAGTTTATAAACTAAATAGTTAAGTCCTATCTTCCGTCATATATAATGTACCCGTCAAGGTCAATTATTTGTGCCTAACCCACTGGAAGAAAGCATAATCTGTACAGTCACACACTGTACTTAGATCTTCCCCTTATTTTCTCTTATCACTATCACAACCCAGTCCACACTGACTCAAAAAGTTTCATTTGTTGGCATTTTTTTTTTCAAAAGAGAGAAATATTCTTTAAATGTTGTAGAATTTTTAAACTAAAAGGATGTTTGTACTGGTTATCTATTGCTGTTTACAAATTACCCCCAAATTTGGCATTTATGATCTCATGACTTCTATGGGTCAGGAGTCTGGGAATAGCTTTGCAATGGCCTCTGCTCAGAGTCTCTCATAGGACTGCAATCAAGGTATCAGTCAGGGCAGCAGTCATCTCAAGGCTGGACTTGGGGAGAATCCACTTCCATGCTCATTTATATGGTCAGGGTCTTGATTCAGTTTCCTGCTGGCTGTTGGCCAGAAATATTAGTTCCTTGTCATATGGGACTCTCCATATGGCTACTGAGATCTGACTTGCTCCAGAGTGAGAGCTCAGCGGGAAAGAGAGAGCAGAAGGGGACTAACAAGAATGAAGCCATAGTTTTTTTATTGCCTAAACTGGAAAGCGACATCCTATCACTTTTATCATCAGCTATTTATTAGAAATAAATCACTGGGCCAAGCCAACCTCCAAAGGAAGGAGATTGTAGAAGGGAATGGATATCAGGAGGTAGAGATCATTTTGACAGCTATCATGATGCCTCAGAAATAATCAAGCTTGATTCCTTCATTTTACAAATGAGGAAAATATGACTGAGGTTTAAATGGGTTACATGACTCACCAATGAGACTGGAAAGGAATTAGGGCTCGGGTCTTCTGATTTGTGGTCTAGAGCTCTTGGCACCATATTGTGCTGATTTATAGTTTTTCTTCTTTATCTTACTTACTTGTTCTCACTCTCACAATTCTCTCCTTTGTTCAACCTATTTATTTCAACAAATATCAAAAAAAAATCAATCAATCTTTTGGACATTCAAAAACAAATACATAAACTGCTACATTTTTGTTGTGTTTTCTACTTCTTACTCATAACTAATGATGGGGGGAAAATGGGAGAATATTCCCGCTTTAAGTGATGTTATTCAGGTGCTGAAATATAATGCCTGTGATTGGCATTCACGCTGTGCTTGAGGGTGCACCAGACCTGTGCTCTGTTGATAGAACTGCTGGTTTAATTGTCTTTCAAGAGTCTCACAGCAAAATTTAAAAATCAGAATATCTAATTTCTTTCTTTTTTTTTTTTTTTTGGAGACAGTTACACTTTGTTCCCTAGGCTGTATTGCAGTGGCACAGTCTCGGAGCCGCAACCTCTGCCTCCCAGGTTTAAGCAATTCTCTTGCCTCAGCCTTCCACGTAACTGGAATTCTGGAATTATAGGCACCCGCCACCACGCCCGGCTGATTTTTTTTTTTTTTTTTCTTTTCTTAATTTTAGTAGAAACAGGGTTTCACCCTGTTGCCCAGGCTGGTCTCGAACTCCTGAGCTCAGGCAATCTAGCCATCTCGGCCTCCCAAAGTGCTAGGATTATGGGCATGAGTCACCACGCCTGGCCTCTTTGTTTGTTGTTTTGTTTTTTCTTCTCTTCTCTTCTCTTCTCTTCTCTTCTCTTCTCTTCTCTTCTTTTCTTTTCTTTTTTCAGGCAGAGTCTCATTCTGTCCCCAGGCTGGAGTGCAAAGGGCTGATCTCAGCTCACTGCAACCTCTGCCGCTCAGTTTCAAGTGATTCTCCTGCCTCAGCCTCCCAAGTAGCTGGAATTATAGGCACCCGCCATCATGCCCAGCTACTTTTTGTATTTTTAGTAGAGATGATGTTTCATCATGTTGGCCAGGCTGGTCTCAAGTTCCTGACTTCTAGTGATCCTTCCACCTCGGCCTCCCAAAGTGCTGGGACTACGGGCATGAGCCACTGTGCCTAGCCTTAAAATCTCTAATTTCTGATGCATTATTAATTTTGTTACTTTCTTTAGTTTTTCAATGATTTGAATTTTAACTTCTTTCTTAATATATCATTTCACTCTCCAAAAGGCATTTTCATATATAGCATCTAATTAAGTTCACACATCTTTCACATGGTATAGGAAGGTAGGTGGAAATGTGGCTTAGCTACACTGCATGTTTTGATCAAAATCACATGGCTGGTTATGGCACAGCTGTCTCTTTCTGTGACAGAATTTCTCTTCACTCAGAATTTCAAAGGAGCATTATAAATTGAAGCCACTCGTTAAACAAACATTAATTGAGTCCCTTATCAAATGTGGCTTGTAGCCGTTCTAGTTCCTACATACAAAGGGGAACTTGGTGCCATGCGGCAATTACTTTTATCACTAGTAATATGAATTAGTTAAAATAGAGTCTCTGGAGCTAGCATTTCTCAATTTCAAATCTTGTTTCTATCACTACCTTGCTGTTGTTTTTAAATACATCATTTAATTTCTTTGTGCATCTATCTCCTCTGGGGAAAATAATGGTAACATTTTATCTCATGGGATGAGGTCACGTATGTAAAATACATAAAATAATTGCTGGCATATGAGACACTAAAATGACAACTATTATTATAATTTGTTAATGCATTTTTTCCTATCTAACAGCTTTGGTTGGGAATGCCTGCATGGTACGTTGCAGCCTGCCGAGCCAACGTGAAGAGTGGTGCCATCATGTCTGCTTTATCTGACACTGAGATCCAGAGAGAAATTGGAATCAGCAATCCACTGCATCGCTTAAAACTCCGATTAGCAATCCAGGAGATGGTTTCCCTAACAAGTCCTTCCGCTCCTCCAACATCTCGAACTGTGAGTCGGTTTGTGCTCCTCCCCTTCCCCAATGCTGGGCAAATAGCAGCGTGTCTAAGTCTACAGAGCAAAATTGTGACAGCACACATTTCAATGTCAGCTTGAATTATTCCCAAGAGATTTAGCTTGCTGTTTATTAAACTTGCTGCTATTTTTAATAGGTTTTCAAATGAGGAGCTGTGATTCATATCAGACTTGAAAGCTAGCATAGCAGACTTTGGAGCTAGCATCTAAAGTTTACATTTTTCTTCCAAGCAACAAGACCCTGAGCTTACTCTTTTTAAGTTCTTCCTTCCCTCCCTCCCTCCCGTCCTTCCTTCCTTCCTTCCTTCCTTCCTTCCTTCCTTCCTTCCTTCCTTCCTTCCTTTCTCTTTCCCCCAGGTAATTTCTCAGGAGATAAGATATAAGCATTAATGCTTACTAAAGATGCAAGGCTTAAGTGACTACTTTACTTTTTTTTAGTTTTAATATTTTTTATTTAATATTTGTTTCTAAGTTATTTCACTTGAGATAAAGGTCTCCAGTTCCATTTATGTCACTGTAAAAGACTTTAGTTTATTATTTTTTATGACTGCATAGTATTCCATGGTGTTTATATATATTTTCTTTATCTAGTCATCCACTGATGGACACTTAGATTAATTCTGTGACTTTGCTATTATGATCACTGTTGGGATAAAGACATGAGTGCAGGCTTTATGTTGATATAACAATTTTTTTTCTTTTGGGTAGGCACTGAGTAGTGAGATTGCTTAGTTGAATGCTTGTTCTATTTTTAGTTCTTTGCGAAATCTCCATACTGCCTTCCACAGAGGTTGTATTGATTTGCATTCCCACCAACAGTGTATAAATGTTCCCTTTTCTCTGTGCCCTTGCTGACATCTGTTGTTGTTGTTGTTGTTTTTTACTTTTTTTTTTTACTCAGCCATTCTGACTGAGGTGAGATGGTCTCTCACTTGATTTTAATTACATTTATCTGATGATTAGTGATATTGAGCTTTTTTATACGTTTGTATAATCTTGTATGTCTTCTTTTATAACTCACTATTTCTTAAGAAGTTTCCATAATTATGAAATTACATGATTTTGATGTTTCACAAGTACCAAATGGAATATCTGGAATATCCTTTTATTTCAAAGTCTGCTTGTCTTTCAGTTACAAATTCCTAATCATCTCATAATTTTTTGCCTATCCTAATCCTAGAAAAGAACAAAACGTGACAAAAAAGGCATGCATCATGACAAATTCAAACACAAAAAAACTCACAAATAGTATTTCGTTATTTATTTATTCCATTCCTAAAGTATATATTTTGTTCACAAAGTATATTATTTCTGATAATTACTAGATTTCCCACATCTCATATCTTATACAGCATAATAAAATATGGGCTAATGAGATAAATTTTAGCAATAGGTAAAATATTAAAAAGTCATATTGCTTTATTGCAGTTTCCAGGCAGAAAAGTAACTTAAGTATAACTTTTTATACATGATCTTAAACAGTTCTGAATAGTTTGCTTCATTTCTATTTACACATTTTCCTTCCCCTTATAGTAGATTCTAATGCCAGAAATAAAAGGTCAAATTTAAAAGGCTTATATATTTCTTACATAACTCCATTTTAAGTTCTTCCCAAATAACATGTAGGAAAAATATATAATTTTTAAAACTCTTACCTGTATTATTTTTAAATAGATACAAATGTTTTTCACCATACCTGCATTATGACTCAAGCTAAAAGACAATTCAGAATACAGTAACTCCTTGAACAAGATGGGAGTTAAGGGTGCTGACCCCCCACAAAATTCAGCTATAATTTATAGTTTGACTGAATATAATTTAGTCAAAAATTCAGCTATAATTTTTGGCTCTCCCAAGACTTAACTACTAAGAGCCTACAGTTGAGTGGAAGCCCTACTGATAACATAAATAGTTGATAAGCATGTATTATGTGTGTTTTATATATATTATATGCTCCATTTGCACAATAAAGTAAGCTAGAGAAAAGAAAATATTATTAAAATCATAGGGAAGAGAAATGATATTTAGTATTCATTATGTGGAAGTAGATCATCATAAATGCCTTTATCCTCATCGTCTTTATGTTGAAAGTATGCCAAGGAGGAGGAAGGGGAAAGATTAGTCATGTTGTCTCAGGTGTGGCAGTGGCCGAAGAAAGTCTGTGTATAAGTGAAATGATGCAGTTCAAACCTGTGTTGTTCAAAAGTCACCTGTGTATTTAAAATAAAAAACTGAGATCATTAAAATAGTTATTGTAAATTGAATTTAAGTCTGATGAAGAGTTTTCTGAGTAATTTCCAGCTGAGAGAGAAGCATCATAAATGGTTTATATCCACATTTTCCTCCCAAGAGCAAATGCAAACAAATTATTAAACATTATGAATCTTACAAAAATAAATTTGAAGTCCCAACTTCCAGATGAAACATAGGATACACTTTATTATTTTTATTTACCAGTGTAATTCATTTCTTAATGGACAATAGGAAATTTTAAAACTATTTTTCTAAAACTACTTAACCAAACTGAAAGAATTTATACAATATTAATTAACATTCAGTTGTTTAAAGAACGGGAAGAAGTAAATAAAGCTTATGAGAGTCTTTATGATCTAGCTTCAGTTCACCTCAAAGGCTTTATTTCCCCAGGTCAGGAACTACTTTCAGTTTTTCAAACTTCTTTCCCCTTGGTCAGTTGTGAGCTTTTGTAATTGGTCTTCCCTTTGCCGGAAACTTTAATCCTACTTCAAAGTCACCGTATTTTTCCCAATTCATTATTCATTTATCGATTCCTTTATATATTTCCTCTGAAAAGCTTTTCCTGAGCCTGCAAAGTCTGGGTTTGGTTTCCCTCCTGAGTTACCACAACATGTACTTATAAACAACATTTCACAGTTCTCTCTTTTCTTGATTTATCTCACATGAGATGAAATAATGATAATATCAGGTTTCCATCAACCCCAGGCCTTAACAATAGTGCCTGGCAAATTTTAGATATTGTGTAAATATTCACCTTAAAATAATCATTGATTAGATCACTCCACCCACATACTTCATGTACTCTGCTGAAGTATAAGAAATGTGTGTGTCCTTGAGATCAGAAAGGGAAACTCTACCAAGGAAAATAAGTATGTTGACCAGTAGATTTAGTACAAGATTATATAGATTAACTCCTAAATGTACAATAGAAGCAAAGTGTGATGGAGCTTCAAGACAGGAGAAATCACTACCAGCTGGATAAGGCTTCAAATAAAAATGAACATTTGCAGCATAAAAAAATATATTGTTTATAGCATTTAAGTTTTATATGTGTTTATTGAATTAATACATAATCCTGTATAACATTTGTAAAATACTGGAAAATACAAAGATGGCAACAAAATAATTTAAAAACGTTAAAAAATACTGATTCCAGAGATAATCAATGTTAATTTTTTCACTATTGAAAAAATTTGATGAAGATCTTTTCATTCTTTTTTCATTATCTTTTTATAAAAATGGATTATTTCACATAATATATTAATTTGTACTTTTTTGGAAATTTAGTAATGTAGCATAAGCATTTTCTTCATTTTATTAAATATGCAATTGCAACATCACTTTTAATTGCTGCATATCTCCTTTGTAGAAATGTGATAATTTATTTAACCAAATTCCTACTAGTGGACATTTTTTTGTTGTGTGTAACACAAATTTTGTTGTGTGTAAAATATGTGCTTGTAATTATATGTTGCATAAACTGTGGTTATTTCCATTGCTATGTTTTTGTATAGGGAATGCATATTCTTAATACTTTCAAACTTCAATTGTCAAATTGTGTTGTGTTGCTATCTTTTCTCCCTTTGTCAACATTGGTTATCTCCCTGCTTAAATTTACATTTAAAAAATCACTACTAAATGTGTAAGTTTGTATATTCTTATTAATCAGGCATTTATATTAATTTTCCATTCATAACCTTTCCAACTATCTATACTATTATAGGAATATTTATCTTTTTACTAATGTGTAATAGCTCTGTATTCACAGAATATATATGCCTCTTGCCAAATACTGATGCAAATTATATGAGACAAGTGAAGTTGTGTCTCTAAGCTTTAAAATTATCTACTAAATGTTTCCTCTTCCTTCTACTCCATCTACATGGAAGCATTTACTCATTTCTAATACATTTCCAATACAATTTACTTTGCAAAATGAAAATTCCACATAAATCGCTATTAATGAATCCACTACATAAAGTCATAACCTAACATTATGTGTTAGAATTCATACTTACAAAACACAAAGGCAGATTTGTTGATTTTTTTTTCTGTTTTACAAAGTTATTTTATCATGTCTTCTAGAACACTACAGTTTGTTCAAATCATACAAGTTATTTTGCACACTGAGGTTTGGACTTGGGTTCCTCAGCCAGATATTTCATGTTTATTAACTGAAGTTCTGAGGAGAAAAGGACATGGTACTTGGGCTTTTTTTTTTTTTTTTCCCCCTACTACTTCTGTTTGATTCTGCCTCCTTTCCTGCCTAGATTTAATGGACTGGACCATCAGAAAGGAAAGTTTAAATGTCACATGTATGATTACCTTGGGCCAGCCCTAAATTTCCAGTTTTCTGTTTCTTTTCCCCAAGCTACTATTACTATAGAAAGTCTCTTACCTAGTAGGACAGAGATGGAGATATCAGTCAATTGAAATTTGGTTGAAGAAGGATGTCATAAAAATAAATGTATTCTTTGAATACTTTATCTGAGGTAAAAAATATGAAAATGCTCAAGCATTGCAAATTTAAATGGAGCACCTAAAACTTTGTTTGCATGTTTCCAGTGTCTGTAGTTCCACATTATTCTTTTAGATAATCTTATCTGGAAACATATTTAATTTCTCTAGTTGGTGTTTCTTTTTAAAGTGATAACTCAAAAAGCCGTTTGAATGAGGAATCCTTCTGGAAATTTACAATGTCTTCCCCAGACTTTGACAAA